AAACATTTTAAGTTTAGAAAAAATGAGGATTCTGGGGAAAGTTTCATAGAGCTTCGAGTTCCTCTCTCAAAAACTGACTAACTTGGAAAGGGACATCCGTATTTTTGCAACAAACAAAGAATTCTATCTATCCAGTTGAGTGGCTGAAAAGGTACATTGCTACAAGACCAAGATTTGACGGCCAATTATTTATACATATATATGGACGGTAGTCCTCTAACAAGGTTTCAGTTCTGTTCGATATTAAATAAGACTCTGGAAGTAGCCGGCCTTCCAAACTCACGATACAAATCTCACTTTTTCCGTATTTGGGCCGCGTCAGATAATTTCTCTTACAGTCATTCGGAAACAGAAATAAAAAAGCAAGGTAGATGGAGTTCGAATGCCTTCAAAAGGTATATTAGGATTAAGTGATTTCCTCAATTGATTTTCATATTTTTATATAGGAAGTGATTGTTCTTCAACTATTAAGTGGGCGTTCTACTATGTAAGAAAATCCTTAGATGGTGTGGATGTAGGTTTAAGACGAAGAAACTATAGAATTTTTTGGCAGGGTAAGGGAGGTATGAAATGGTTTGACCTTATTCCAAAAATAAAGCTCTTGATAAGTTATGAATCTCCACCAGAAATTTTAATTATTCATTGTGGAGGTAATGGTATAGGTAAAATTCCATTATTGCAACTACGGTCCATTATGTGTTCAACACTCGAGGAACTTAAATAACTACTCACTAAAACTACACTTGTTTGGTCAAATATGTTGCCAAGAATTTCATGGCGTTTTAGTTCAAATTTGAAAGCACAAAATCTTGCTACTGTCAGACTCAATAATTTTATGAATCATTTAGTCACTGTCAATGGTGGGTTCTTTATCAAATACCCAGAGATTACTTGGGATTCAAAAGAAATGTTTGGTAGTGACGGAGTTCAACTGTCATACTTCGGTTAAACTTACAAAGGACTCTACAAGAATATGTTTTTTCGATAAAATGGTAAATTTGTAGATTGAGCTTCAAGATGTGGCCACATCTACACATATTTTGCGTCTCTCACTCCACCTAACTATGTTGGCGGTGGTTGTCCTTTTCATCGGACAACCATTTGGCAGTTATTCGAGACGCCTTCTATGATACAAATATTTTATAAGGATAAGGATTATAAGGTTTATAAGGATAAGGATTATAAAGTTTATAAGGATTAATGTTATATACGATTAAGTAAAGTATATATTGTATTATTTAGGTCGAGGCCACTAACGCCAACTCAAAAATAAATAATTATAAGAAGTTATGTTTTTCTTCATCGTCTTTATTAATTGATCCTATACTAATTAATACTAATTAATACAGGAATATATCTAAAGCGTTAAATATAAAAGAAACGCCAATGGAATTATTAATTCTGGATAACCGTGTATTTGTAGCAAATATAAACCTTGTCAGCAAATACAATCTAACATTGTCAAATGCTAACTCACGTCTTTCATTCTAATTGTCGGACCATTATTTACATTGTCGACGGATTTTCCCGTTATTTCCCGATTTTGACAAGGAGCACACGGCGGGTGTGATGCTAACTCCTCCATAGCACTTGATCCCACCTCTAATGGTTTAGAGGTCCGTGTTTTCTCTGCTCCTAATCTGTATCGTATGAATGGACTTTTAAGCTTGAATACTGTTCATTATCTCCATATATTCATTTGCTTAATTCCGAAAAGGAAAGATTGTCGTAATGGGCATCCGATTTTCAAAGATATTCAAAATCTGGTTGATCCCAATAACTAAATCACGATTTCTTGAAAATAAATCATATTTTATTTGTCAGAGATATGATGATAAAGTTTGTGAAGCAAACTGTTTGAAACCAGAAGAGTGATATTTTGATCAATTTAACTTCGAAATTTTCGACACACTTTCAAGTAAACCTTTCCTTACTGCATTTTCATTTTTGAATGATGCAGTGATGGGATAGTTGCGATAAAGAGGTAAGCTAAGGGGTTGAGAGGAGGACTTACAATAAAATTGTATATGAGCACGGTGAGATTTCCACACATCGATAAGTTTTTCGCTGACACACAATTGAGAGAGGCCAGGTGAATTCAAGTGTACCGAAACTAAATTTCGTTATTCTTAATTTTGTGCTGCACTAAGTGAAAATTCGTACTGAACATTTTTAATCGTCATTTGAATGCAATGCATTGAAATTAAATTAGGATCCTAACTTCATAAGGCTATATGCAGTATTTTGTTGCGACAAATTCCCTAGTATCGGGAAGCCATTGTATAACCATGTAAAATGAACAACATATTTTCAACATATGTTCAACATATGTCTAAAGAAGAATGTGAAGTTCTTTGAGAAATATGATTGTAATTTGTTGTCATTTTTATGTGGATAAATCGAAATATTAATTATCAGATTTAGCGTTTCAATATTTCTATTTTGTAATTGAATATATCGCGTTTGAGAATAAATAAATCTATGATACATACACGGAAAGTTGACACAATGAAATATATGTTAGTTTACATTTGTAATATGGTTTATAAATATTAGAGAGCAGAGACATTAGCTTTTATTTTTATTTATATAGCATTTTAATACAATTATATAATATGATCACTGTTGTCATAATTGTCCTATATACGGTTTGATTACAGGGTTCGTATACCATGCTCGGACTTGGCGAATGCCACAAAAAGGATTTATGTTACTCCTATATCAATGTGACTTCCAAACATAGAGTTTAAATGGAAAAATTTGCGGATTTTTTTCTGGCTATGCACCTATTATCGCTTCATACCAGACAATGAAATTCCAAAGTACAAAACTTTTTGGTTTTTTTTTCTTGAGGGCACACCAGAATTTTCTGGCCAGAAAGTTGTTTCTCATAATTGTCCATGACGGATGACTTCCAAAACAATCAGGACTTTCAAAACGTCCGGTCTTTCAATCCCCTCAATGATGGTTCATACGAGGCGGATAGTACCTCAGACGATATTTGATCTCCTTTTGGTTTTCAATCAAAACCTTTATAAGAAAAATGAAATCGAAAGAGAGGCTTTTTTTTTCTTCCGATAGGTTGGAAGTAAGCTTTTGTCGTCATGTTCAGACAATTTACCATATTTATCTTAATACATACAAGATTCCAATGACGTTTATTCTCACAAAAACTATTTGAGAAAAGAATTCTTAGTTGTGTTGTATAAATTGTGTTGGTGCAGTTTACGGTTTTATGGTTTATAAAAACCCGCAAACTGTTCCAATTAAGTTTTAATGTATAACATCGGTGGCTATTGACTTTGTGCCTATGATTTAAGTTTCTATCATGTTATATAAAACGTAATATGATTTTCCCCTTTAAAGTGCCTTCAACTTCAACAAAACATGAGTATTTCTTATGGCAGACTAATACGTTTTTTACGTAAGTCATTTGAAAGAAGGATGTACCGTTTGTTATAAAATATATACATTTTTTTTCTATCCAATTAAATAGCGCACACAACTAGAGTTGAATTATACATAATTTCAAAATTGTCCAATTATGATTGGTGTTCTATGTTTTGTGAAAACTCGATGTACACGGGTGCATGTGTTTTCGTTTAATATCAATTTAACTCTCGAGAAACTTAATTATATTTTTTTCATTATTTTCTCATGAAGAGGACACGATCATATGCATATGTAGTATATAGTTTTTAACTGGAAGGTTCTTTCCTCTCCTGGGCACGTACTCATATAAAGCGTTCATAATTCTGATAGTCTTTTTCCTTGCAAACTTCATTTCAAATTATCCCTCATCTTCATTAAATGTGAATGTTGTGGTATCTCATGGCATAATTGATCCCAATATGATCAACTACATGTATAAGTTTTGAGAAACCCAATTCCACATCTACAGGAAGCCACCAATCAACTTCAATAAAAAAAAATAATTAGGTTACTCTATAAAATGTGCTGTAATATATGGCGATAACAAGGAGAATGCAAGCTTAATAGTCCATTTAAACAATACAAATCAGTATCAGAGCAATCACGGACCTCTTAAACATCAGAGATTAATCAGGTTCCATGGAGGAGTGAGCATTCCCTGTCAAAACGTCCATGTGCTCCTTGTCATGATCGGGATATAAAGGAATAATCCGTTAAAAATTCAGTTTGCAAACAATGGTCTAAAAATTAGTATGAAAAACGTCAGTCAGCATTTGATTTAAAAATAGATTGTATGCACTGACAACGTCATACTTTAACTATAGAACTTGCGAAATTATTTCTGGGAGCCAGGCTTTTGTTAAAAAATAAAAAAAAAAAAAAAACAAACAAACAAAAAAAAAAAAAAAAAAAAAAAAAACACCACTACATTTTGCCCCAAGAGTTATTCTGAGAATTCCAAAATCTTATTGCAAATCTAAAGGACAAAACCTATCATATTCTACTAAAAGAACAGTTTGAGGAAGAAGAAAGTGTGACAGATGGGCGGACCATGGTAAATTTATAAAGAGCAGACATAATGAAGGAACCACAGTATATATATATATATATATATATATATATATATATATATATATATATATATTATATATATATATATATATATATATATATATATATATATATATATATATATATATATATATTGCGATATTCATTTATGAGCAACCCCGATATCATATGTCTCACGGAATAAAAAAAGAGCAATTTACATGCAGTGTTGCTTTCAACAATATGACACTGTGAAACCTGATGAAAGAAAAAAAAAAGGAATAATTTCTATAGAATCTATCCAATGAAATAATAACAAAAATACTAAGGAATACCTAGGATTGGGATTCATCACAATCATTTTTATGAGACTTTTTCTAGATCAAAAAATAAAAGGCGGATATCCGACCAAATCCTTTATACAACCTTTATCATTACTATTCATATATCAAAAATAGTTAGCAACAGCAAGTTTATAAAAATAACCCACCGATATGATGTAACCATTAAAGTTTTATTTATTTCAGAAAAAACAAATGATTCTTTTACTTCTTTGTTCAATTCAATTTGAAGTCTTCCTTCCTAAAAAGAAAAAAAAATCGTAGTAAAAAAAAAAATTGATTAACACGCATGATTTTTATAAAAGATTCATAGAAAAATTCACTTACACTTCTGATTTTATCTTACTTCATCCCAGTTCTCAAGAATCTTTTCGTGAACTCCGCCTCCTGTAACAAATGGTACCAAGCATTTTTTATTTGTTAAAAATATCTTGAACTATCATTTCTCAATTTATAATCTAGGAGTACATGAAATAGACTTACTCTCATTTTGTTTATTTTCTCCACAAGGTCACTTCCTTCTTCCTTTAAATAAGTGAAAGATTTTTTCTTAAGTAGGCAAAATCAAATTTAAACAAATATGCAATAAATCACGCTGTATTTAACGAGACCGTGTCTAATTTGACTGCGCGTGACGTTTAGCAGTTTTCTTATCTCATGCAGTCGTAGGTGCGTCATTACACATGTAGTATGAGTTGTGATTTACCCGTAAATAACATTTAACATTATCTATAACATCCATAGGTCTGATTATGTTTTTAAGACAATAATTAGAAAAAAACGCTAAAATGGCTCTAACGACATCACTGTTCCCTGGGTTTGTAAGCAAAGCTTGTCTCTGAAGACTGACGCATGACTCGCTTGTATATTAAATATGATCAAGGACATGACAAAAATCTGTTGATAGAACTTCAAAAGAAAAATACCATCAATCTTAACGTTGTAATTTTGTAAAAAAAAAAAAAAAAAAAAATCATCTGCACCTATACCGATATATATATTACTTTGTTACAAAATTAAAGAAATTAGATATCAAAAAATAAACTTTTATAATAATTCCTAGACCAAACAGAATGGTCGCCTTTTTTTTTCAGAAATGCACAACTTAACAATATCTTTCATATATTATACTACAAAATGTCGCTTGATCAGAAATACAAATATATTGAATGACTGTGACAATTTTGCAATTTTCCAACAAATTCCATAAAGGTTAAATAGTAAACAACTTTTGTGAGCTTCCCCCCCCCCCCTTTTAGAAATCGGGATGGTAAACATTCCATTACTTAATCCAAAACAATTTTTAAAAAAATACTAAAAATTCATTTAAGAAAAAAATGTCAAAATATCTAGAGACAAAATTATTAGACTCGACCTGGTTTAAGTTTGAATTCAATGAAATTCAAAACAAATCGGAACTTTCCAATCCCAAAAAAGTAATTAAAAATATACTCTTTTAAACGGAACAAGAGCCAGATAATATTTACCTCCAACATATTTAGAGAACGCTTGTTGCAATAACAAAATCCATTATAGCAAGCGCACCACTTCTTCTTTTTTGCATCTGCCTCTTTCATCAAGCAAAGCAGCATAGCAAGGATAACGACATATGCGATAAACCTCATCTGAAAACATATCGCCATGACTATTTAAAATGGCATTTAATATTTCCCAAAACATGGGAAAAGTGGATAAAAGAATTCAACGTTTTCGGACATAGAAAAAAGTATAAATGTTTGTTTTAGAAATAGAAAAAAAAAATTGTTTGTTAAAAAGAAAAAGAGAGAAAACAAGATGTGTTTGTGAAACACTATGCCCCCGATGGTAACACAATTCTGGAGTGAAACATAGACTACAGTGCAATAGTTATGGCCAATGTTAAAGTTTGTCAAATGTAGGTCAAAGGTCACAGTTGAGGTCACATGATCAAAAATTTCTGTACCAATGGAAAGGTCTTATCATAATGAACACTCATGTCAAATATTAAAGCCTTACCCTTAACAGCGCAATAGTAATGGGCAAGGTTAAAGTTGACAACAGACAGACAGACAGACAGAAAAACAGACAAACAAACATACAGGACAAAAACAATATACCCCCGGTAACTTTCGATCCGGGGGCATAAAGAAGAAAAAAAAATGAGGAAATCTTTAGCAAGGCAAAATAATCTCGTTTAACAGGAACACTGAAATAAATCGCGCTCACATTGCCATAAAACAAACAGACAGAAAGAAAAAAAATCATGATAACATTTGCACTGAATGAGATTAATAAAGAAAAAGTTTGCTTACGATGTCCAATTTGAAGTCTTCTGTGCAATTAATTTTAAACCAATGAAAATAAAGCAGAAATTTGTCAATTTATACTTGAAAATTATGAACAGCTGGTAACCCTCCTGCTATTAGATTCCGAAATTGAGAAGGGAAAAAAATATAAAGCATTGAAATCTGACACAATATATTTGTGCCTTAAATCCTATCCTCTTTGTTTTATTTTGTCACATGCATAGTCAGCATTTGAATATCTTACATGAAACTTTTGCAACCTTGTATTGTTTTTGTATCTAGTCACATAGAGGATTGAGATGAAGAAATAGAATGTGCAAACAAAGGTCTTCCAGTTTCATTTTTTAACCAACACTTTTGGTCAATTATATAAGTAAAACTAAAAGCTCTTTAAATTAAAATTCCATTTTTCAGTCTGTTTGTTTATTCGTGATTTTTCAAGCTATAACATCATCGATAAAGCAATGCAACATACGTATAAAATCTATCTCTGTATGAATAATACACACAGACTTTCGAACATGTTTGCATGCGCACTTACTTGCAATGAGAGAAATGCATTTTTCATATGTTTTTTTGTGATCAATATTCTTCTATCATGAAGAAAACTTTTTTAAAACACTCGTCGCATTCAAAAAGATAAAACAATTTTGATATTATTTAATGAACTGTAAATAAGTGTGAATATCTAATTGAAAATTGTTCAGCTAAAACTTTTCTCCATATTAATTAACCTTACACATTTTGCAGACTCAGTTAGAAACTTTGATAAAATTAAGTAGGTTAAGTTTGTTATTTTCACTTGTAGTTGACGGCAATGATTAATCATTAAAATGAACGGTTTTGTTAGTGAGATGCATGTTTACTCTAACAATACATCATCAGTATTACATGTACAAGTCAGAAATCAAAATGTATTTTTCTAGTTTTATTTATAGATTTTCACGACATGATCTTAAAAGAGCCTGCATAATACATTCATATTATTATAGGGGTTCTGTGGTCCTTACTAAGCTACATATGTTACATTCCCACCAAATCTTCTCTGATCACTTTCCTTTAAAAAAAAGTGTCGGATTATAATTTAGAATTTTAATTAATAAAGACAATAATTTATTTAACTTATAGTTTTGATACCGTTTTATTTCAGACAATTTTCCGTTAAAATAATCTTTGTAATATATATTTTTCCGTTCTCATTTTTTTTTCCAGGTATTATATACAGTGCAGGGAACTAATTTTGTTACATTAACCAGCATCAGCATAAGCATTAGTAACATCAGGATCGAACTAGCATCAGCATTTAAAAAGCAGCATTACCAGGATCAGCATCAGCAAGCAAAGGATAGAACTAACATAGCTAGCATTGACCTATTTAAAAACCAGCATCGACCTACTTAAAATCAGGATTATGCTGGTTTACTAATAATACAGATTCGATTCTCACAAAACGAAACAGCAAGTAGATATTCTTATTTCAGTCGGGAACAAATACGAATAATGTATTTCTTGCGGTGAAATTATTCAATACAATCTTAAGATTAATATTAAATTAATTTAAAAGCAATAATCCCGCGATATTTTTCAATCTGAATCAGCTGATCACCAAACGTCCTATGGAGTCCACTGCTGAGGCCTCGCCACGGCTTGATGTTATTGAAATTGGTGAGAAAAGGGTAAGTAGTAACACTTGGTCAAGAAAATTAAGTTTAATAATACAATAAAAGTATGATGTTTGGTGAATTACTATTTACTATAATTTTTATTGGGTTTTATGCGTATACACTTACTATTAGAAGTAATTCACAATCCGAACTTCCTCTAAATTGACGGAAGCCAGGAATAAAAATCGCAGTGCCTTTGAAAAGATTATCATACAGGTGTATTGAACAAAGCCTAATAATTAAACCAAATAATTGATTCTGTATTATTCACAGCATTAAACGAATCTGGTTTAAATATTTTTAATGCGGGGGTTCTTAAATTTTATAAAAACATGTGCAGATAAATTTGTGTATGTACCAGAAAAAATTTCACTTTCAAGTAGCTAGAAAATAACTATCATTATAACACAATGTAATACATCGGAGAGGATCTATGCATGAAAATACATTCATTTTAAAACTTTTACACTACATATTCTTTTCCTTGTTTGACGAATTGCATAATATTCATCATAGTGGTACATTGTATAAACTAGTTTGTATAATTGTCCTGGTATGTAGAATTTTATTTTAAGTACTTGAATCCATTAATTCCCTTGCAAATAAGATCTCAATTCAATTAAATACACCAGATTTTACCAACAGAAGTCTATAAATCATTATCTGTGTTTTTCCAAAATCAAGTTTTGCAAGGTTTGTAAATATATATATATATATATATATATGATCAATGAATGAATCTTAGCTTCTTTGTATAATGTATTTTTATCTTTATCATAGCTCTTTGTGGAAGAACATGAGAGTACTTGATAGAAATGGAGCGCTATGGAACAGTCTACAGTTTGTTGTTTCAACACCCCACACGAGAAACTTTCATTCATATGGTGATGCCAATACTTGCCGGTGAAGGGCTGCAAATTTGGACCTGTACTCGCACTTAGGCCTTTAAGCAGGGAGAGATCTTGTTCGTGCCAGCATACTGGAACTGGGTTTATATGGTCTCATCCAAAGGACTGAGGCAATCTACAATCTACAGTGATGTCTGAGAATGATGATTACAAAAGTTTTTCAAGAAAGTGAACTTGTTGAAAGAAACTTTGCTGGTGGTCAAGAAAAAAGTTCACTTTTTCATGCAAATATCATTCTATTTATTTGACTTTGTGGACATAAATTTATCAAACAAGTGAAAAAGCAGTGAATATGGGACATTAATTGTACAACTATTAATCTGATTATTCCATCATTACACCATTTAATAAAATTCTGAAAGTTGTTATGGGACATTTTGCGATTCCATTTATTATTAATTATAAGTATAATTTGGTTAAGTTAAATTGGCACTGACTATAAATGAATTGCAATTTTTAGACACTGAGAATATTGTTTTTATTGTTTTCATGAGCTTAAAATTTTACATGTATACTGTGTTGTTCTACAATAAACATAAAATGACCTTTATTTTGTCCCCTACTTCAAATATATTGTACCTTACAGCACAATTTGCTTCTAAGGAGTGGTAAAAAAAATATTTGGAAAAGATGATATTAGAGTTTGTTATATTTTCAGAAACTGAACATTTTACCAAAGCGGTACAGATCTAGAAAAGAAAAACTGATAGAAGATATTACTGTAAATTTCATACATACAGGTTTTAATTTCAGAGTGGTGAAGTTTGTTTTGAAATGAAGGAGAATAGTTTTAATGTTATATCATCAAGGTGAAAAGATATCTGGCTAGCATCAAACTCTAAATCTATGGTACACCATAGTATAATATGTGAATGATTTAAACCACTGGCTTAAACAATGAGGAAAATGTATCTATACAATATGTACCATGATGCAAGAGAAGAAATAAGTAATTATTGTAAATAATAACTTTTATGTGACATGTGCAGTGTTTATATTTGTTTCACTGACTTTACCCTATTCCTTACTTAGATTATGTAAACTTTTTGTGGCCTATGTTTAACCTGACCCTTAACTTGGGCATTTTAGCCAATCATAAGCGGTCAATTTGTCACGTGACATTTATTGATCTGTTTATTTTGGACGAGAAGCCACGCTATTTCTGTACAGTGAAATTTGTAAAGTTTTGCAAAGTTTACGGATGTATTTACGTTCTCCGTGTACAAGGAACTTGTAGTTACATTATAATGTTTATCTAACATTGTTTGGCAGAGAACGGTGAGTGTTAGCGTATTCTCTTGCACTTACTGTTTTGTTTTGCTCGGTTCGCCTGTTCAGTGCGCAATCCGGTTAGAACCGGTTACGGAGATGGACCACAACATGGACGATGCGAATTGTCTCAGTGTTTGTTTGATAGGACATTCATTTGTTTCACGTCTTCAACGTTATATGGAGTCAAATTCAAAGCTAATGAATTTAAATTTGGGTTCAGACAATTTTAATGTGTCAGTTTGTGCACGAGGAGGATTAAGAGTGTCCCAGTTATCGAACTTCATTACTTTTCACAGCAAACCGCATATGTGCTTTATTCAGATCGGTGAAAATGACATTTCGCGCTATGATGTGAACAAACTGGCAACAGATATCCTTTCAGTAGCAAGGTATTTACATGAGGGGATGGGTATTCCAATCGTGATTGTGGGACAACTATTGCGTCGCCAACCTTGGGCGTCCTCCAGTGACCTTAATGGGAAAATCGTTG